ACATACATATATATATGCATTGAATGGCAGATGAATACGTATATTGCCACCCCCATATATATATATGCATTGACTGGCAGATATGTATATGTATATTACCACCTCCATATATATATATGCATTGAATGGCAGATATATATATATATATATATAGATTCTTAGTGCGTTTCTACATCGTATAGACAGCTGGGATGTGCTATAGACTGTGTGTGTGTGAGTGTGTGTGTGTATGTGTACAACCGCCAACTGTGGCTGTGGGCGTAGTCCTTCAGTATCAATTGAGTTGAGTTTACATAGAGTGTGTGTGGTTGTACTGAGAGCACACGCCCTCCGCATCCCTTGAATTGAGCCGATGTATGTATGTCATGTGTACATGTGTGCACTGATATGAAGGCACACGTGCCCATGTGCGAATGCACAGATGTACACATATGCATGCATACGTAGATCCACTTTGCAATCTATCCATGCATCTCAACTCAACCCAACCCAACCCAAACTCAACCCAACAACCCAACCCAACCCCTTCCCTCAGCACCACGTGACCAAACTGCCGTATGAAATGAGTCGCTTGGCACAGGACCTTGCTGGCGGACTCATGGTCACACTGCCCTCCGAGAAGGAATTGAACCACCCGAAGATCGGAAAACTACTCCAGAAATACCTCCGTGGGAGTAAGGAGTACTCCACGGAGCAGCGGGTGCGCATCCTGCGCCTGATCGAGAACATGACTCTGGGCCGTAATGCCGTGGGCTATTTAACTGAGAGTATGCACGGCGCCGGGTCACCCCAAGCACAGCGCATTCAGATTGGTCGAACTATGCAGTTGGAGTACAAGAAGAGACTGGCGTGTGTGTTGGCGGGGATTGAGATGGAGGACGGGGAGGAGGTGAATGGGACATGTAAGGATGCTCTGGCGGAGGAGGTCTCTGGGTACCTAGGCAGAGTCTTCGAGGTTGAAGCGTAGATATAAACGGTATATATATATGTATATATGTGTATATATGTATATATGTATATATGTATATATATGTATAT